CTTCACAAAACAAAATAAGCACAGTAAAAGCGTGGTTTGAAACCACGTTTTTTTGAAGAAAACAAATTTTCCTTAAAAGCGTGGTTTGTAACCACGCTTTCACTATTTCACAAATTTTCTGCTACAAACAGTGAAAACGTGGTTTGTAATAGCGCTTTAGCCTAGTTTGGGAATTTCGTCCAAACTAGGCCTAGTTTGGGAATTAAGATGGTAATTTGGCTTAGAGCTGTGATTAGGACCCCCTCATATTCCCACCCCCACCACCCCCACAGACACGTGGGGGTTGGTGAGTGGGAGAGAAGAAAAAAAAAAAAAAAACAAAACAATTTCAACCAATCAAAAGGCAAAGGGGGTCGTGGGGGTCCCTTGGAAAGGGGGTCTCACTATTTTTTGTTTGGCTTAATATGGGAAAAGCCTCATATCAAGCTATTTCCCAAATTAGGCTTAGTTTTGACGAAATTCCCAAAATAAGTTAAAACGTGGTTACAAACAACGCTTTCACCATTTTTGTGGCTCTGCCGCGGAGGATTTGTAAAATCGTAAAAGCGTGGTTACAAACCACACTTTTAATTAAGAAAAGTGATTGCAAACAACGCCTTTAAGGAAATCTATTTTTATGAAGAAAGCGTGGTTAGAAACCACGCTTTTAAATAAAATTGTTTTGTAACCAAAATATAAGACAAGTAAGGAGGTAGCTCAAATGGTAGTGCTTCTCTTTTCCATAGGAGAGGTATAGGGTTCAATCCCTCGCATGAAAAATTTTAGAAACTTCAAAAATTTTATCAAAGTTTTTACTAAATGTTTTGTATGGGTGAGACCCATCCTCTGTGAATTCTATATAGATCCAATATTATGTGAAACATTTGATAAATTTTTTAGAGTTTCACATATTCCCTCGTTTGATTACATTTTGGAAATTATTTTGTGAAGGGCGGCCACAAATACCTAATACATTTGACTACCCGTTACTACTTATCTAGAAAAGGCATTATATTTAATTTTAAAAAATTAAAAAAATAAAAAACATCATAACTTTCCGACATGACATAGAAGAATACTTAGAAATAAAATAGCTTAAATATGGATTAGATTTAGGCATATGGTAAGTACGTATCAACAAAGACAAAACTTTGCCGGATTAGTTTATGTGCTTAGAAAATATGATTTATTTATTTATTTATATTTTTTTTCATGAGGGTTAATATGTGTTTGCCTGGGCTTTGATGGGGAAGAATCGAAGCATGGGAATATAATAATTTATAGAAGTATTATATTCATATAATTTTTTTTCTTCACAATCTCTTGAGTTAGGTGAAAACATACAAAATAAATGTAAAAAGAATTTTGAAAAAATATTAAAATGTGGGTCAATTTTTTAAATTTTACTCGTCACGTAGATTTAAGAGATAAATTGTATGAATGAACTATTTTTCAATATTTAATTAATCAAAGATTTTTTTTTTAGGGGGGGGTGGGGGAGGAACGTCACGAAACCGCGTGATCTGATAATAGGTGATGAAGACTATAATGCATAAAATATCCATGTTTGTTTCTGAAAGATGATACAACTATTTTGCCTATAACATTACAACTATATTTCATTACCTAATTGTACATGTGTGCTTGCTTTTCTTGGGTTCTTGGTGTAACCAAGGACTTTCCATGTTTGATAAAGCTATTTGGAGGAAATTGGTAATATATAGGGTTAATTACACTCTCCTCTTCCCCGGAGGTTTAAGCAAAATACAATGAGTCTTATATTTTTAATATAATTATTTTTATCTCTCTTTTAATAAGATTAAAATGATCAAAATTAATACAAATGGTGCATAGATACTGAAATAAACAAATATAAATATATATTTTAGAAAAATTCTATGATATACATCCCATATATTCTAGTTATGAAGCTTGTGTTATTTGTTTATGATTTATTGGTGTTAATTATGAATTCATTATGATTGATGTTGATTATGACATATTGTAATTATTATTTTGGTTATAACTCATTATAATATTAATTATGATTTTGCTTTGACTTATTGAAGTTATTTTTAGACTATGACCGAAGAGATGGTGTTTGGTTACAATTTATTATGGTCTTTTTAGTTATAACATAAAGTGATTTGGTTAGAATACTTTCTAATATTACAATCCCTTTTGGGAAGTTTGTTGTAGAAGGACCCATTTTAGTGGGATGCTTATAAGTAGCAGGAAAATCCTTAGGGTTCATTTTGGAAGAATTTTTTTAGCGACTTTTTGATTTTTTTACTATTTTAGCCTGACAAAAAAACTTCCGTTTATGATGAACTTTGGAATTTTTGTAGTTTTATGAGAGAAAAAGTTAATTGATTATTATTTGAATTTGATATTTTGTTTTATTAACTTTTTAGACAATTTATCTTTTAGTGGGTTAAATTAGTCCCAACCATCTTACCAAACAAAGGTTTAAGGAGCACTATTACAATTTTAAGGAGTGCTATTATAATTTTATAAAGGATATACAAAATATAATTTGCATATATTAATAAAATTATCAAAAATTTATGAGGGCACCTGACTCCGTAATTTCAATGTAAATTTGTCATCGTATATATCTATCTTTATATATAATGGGCAGGGACAAAATTAGATATTTTGATCAGGGAGGGCCGAGTTAAGTGTAGCTAAAAAAGAATCTTTGACAATTATAACTATTTGTTAATTGTTATTAAAAATTTAGTAAGAAAAATTATTAAACCTATATCAATCATCTCTTAATGGTTATCTCAATTATTTCATACAATTTTAGGTCTATATAATGTAATCAGATTCTTAGTACACTTCATTACACTGTAATTTAAATTTTTTTTAAAGATAAATATAATTTTTTTTTCAAATTAATAGAATTATTGCGATAGCGGAATATGTGAAATGATTTGAAGTCATACCATATATACTCTTAGAATAAAAATTTAGAAAAACCATTTTATATACTATAAAAATATTTATAAATCTGACAAGCTAGAAGAATTTCAAAAAACTTGGGTGGTGCCATAGCGCCCTGGTTCTCCCTTCCCTTCGTCCTGACAAGAAAATTCTACATAGATACTCAATTTTGAAGTGTGTATTATAAAAGGGTGAAACCCAATAAATTTTAAAATATAATTTTATAAATTATTTAGTTTTTTCTTTTTTCTTATGAACTCAAAGGTCTCATTAAAGTGAAAACTATACAAAAAGATAGTCACTTACATGTTTAGGTTTAATTTTCTAGAGATAAAAGTGAGTTTTTTTAAATGTGAAATTACACATTTGGACAAGAGTAATGCTACGGACCCCAAAAGTTCTACTAAAATTTCTACCAAGTGTCTCACATGGGTGGACCCACACTATGTGGGTCACATGTGGATTTGATTTGCACACCGTATTTGTTTACGATTTTCAAAAATTAATTCTACACTCATTTTTGAAAACTCTATCCAAGGAGAAAAAATTTGGACTAGCCGATTGTCTTACCGGACGTCCGGAAGGTCGTCTGGCTGGTTGACTGGAATAGTGCATAATTTTTTTTTGTTACAATTGACACATATTAATTTTTATATATTCAATAAAAAATATTTTTTGAATTTTTTAAAAAAATTTATGAGTTTTGAATAGAATTTTGAGTTGTGTGTTTGGTTATGAGTTATAAGTTTTTGTATCAAATATCATATGCTACATTAAAAATTTCCCACTCAATTCAAAACTTATTCACCAAATAAATTTTTCACACTCAAATCATAATTTCAAAACTCACAAACTCAAAATACAACTATATTCTCAAATTATATTTACAAAACTCTACCAAATGCAATCTTAAATTTTCACTCATTCTAGAACAAATCTCACATTACCAACAAAAAACTTAACACTCTAATATAATACTCTAATGTAACACTCTAATAACGTAACACTCCAATGTATTACTTAAAAGTTCTTTGATATACTTTTTCCAAACATAACAACATAACACTAAAAAAAACTCTTTAATGTACTTTTTTCAAATGTAATATTCTAATGTAATAAAAAAAAAAAAAACCTCAGTGTATGAAAACCAAACATAACACGCCAATGTAACATATTTCAATATAACACACACAAAAATATTATAAAAACTCTTTAGCATTCTTTTTCCAAACGTAATACTTACAGTTTGAAATTATACATTGCCAAAACTTACTTAAGAAATTTTTTTAATCTTTTTAGAATAGTTTTCGAAGAATCCCACATTTTTTTTGGAGTGTTACGTTTGAGAAAAAAATATACTAAGAATTTTTTTTGTGAGTGTTATGTTTAGGAAAAGTATATTAAGAAATTTTTTTATGTGTTACACTAAGGAATTTTTTTGGAATGTTACGTTTGAGAAAAATACACTAAGGAGTTTTTTTTTTTTTTTGTGTTACATTGAAGTGTTATACTAAGGAGTTTTTTTGGAATGTTACGTTTGGGAAAAGTACACTAAGGATTTTTTTATTTTTTTTATTTTAAGAATCTTATATTTCAAGTCATTTTTGTACTCATTTTAAAATATTTTCCAAATAAAAAATATTCTCATATAAAAATTCATCCCAAATTTAATTCTTATAGATTATGTACTTACCTTTTTGGCACCAAAGAAAAAAGAAAATGAAACATAATAGAAATAAAGGTATAGTCGTAAATTCAATTTTCAAATAATATATTAAATTTATTTTTTCAAAATCAATAAGACTAATCGATCTATAAGAAAATCCTTGGGACAAAATGGTTCATCATTTCTCAAGATAGGATTTATAGGTAAATTTTTCATAAATAAGTGGTATATAAATTAAAAAAGTATACCAAAATTGTATACAAAAATAATGTGGTTATCTTAATAATTATCATTTCAAAACAAAGTACCTATTTGAAAGACATTTAATTACATAAAAATATCATTATCAAAAAACTTGGGTGGTGCCTGATCAAACAGCAAATAGCTAAGAAGGTAAATTTTTCAGGTTGCCTTCTGCATTCACAACATCGCCTACCAAGGCAGATTCGCCTTCGCAGACTTTTCGCTCCTCAATCTCCCCGATTCTTTTAAAAGTTCTTTTGATTTTATTGATGGGTATAGGGTCTTTAAAGTGTTGAATACAGATGAGTTCTATATAATTCGTTTCTTGATCGATATGATTATTGTTCTGATTTTGCAGATATGATAAACCTGTCAAAGGAAGAAAAATTAATTGGATGAAAGCTGGAATATTAGAAACAGACAAAGTCTTGACAGTGAGTCCATACTATGCCAAAGAACTTATCTCTGGGGTAGAAAAAGGGGTGGAGTTGGATAACATCCTCTCCAAAACCGGCATTATGGGGATTGTGAATGGCATGGATGTTCAAGAGTGGAACCCCTTAACCGACAAATATATTACTGCCAAATATGATGCTTCAACTGTAACAACCTTCAAGACACTACTACTTTCCCTCCAATAGCATCATATTAATTACTTCTTGGATTTATATATTTTTAAATTTATTTGTTTATTAGGTAATGGAAGCAAAACCTCTTCTGAAAGAAGCCCTCCAAGCAGAAGTTGGATTGCCAGTGGATAGAAGTATTCCGGTCATAGGCTTCATTGGCAGGCTTGAAGAGCAAAAGGGTTCAGACATCCTTGTAGAAGCTATCCCTCAGTTTATAGATGAGAATGTTCAGATAGTGGTTCTTGTAAGTATGAAACCAGAAGGTTTGAATGTCTTGTCTATTCATCACTATTGCATGAAAGAAGCCTAGAATTCTCTCTTTTACCTTTATCTATAGGGGACAGGCAAGAAGGCAATGGAGAAGCAGCTTGTGGAATTAGAGAAAAACTACCCAAACAAAGCCCGAGGGGTGGCGAAATTCAATGTTCCATTGGCTCATATGATAATAGCCGGCGCTGATTTCATATTGGTTCCGAGTAGATTTGAGCCATGTGGTCTTATTCAGCTACATGGGATGCGCTATGGATCTGTGAGAACTTTACAATATCGGGAATTTTCCTTCTTTTATTCTAACTCAAAATCTGAATTTGTCAAAACTGTGACTTTCACACTGCAGATACCCATTGTTGCCTCAACTGGTGGGCTGGTTGACACTGTCAAAGAAGGCTTTACTGGGTTTCAGATGGGAGGCTTTAGTGTTGAAGTAATAACTCCCAACTTTTTTCTCTCTGCACAGACTGCTTTTGTTTCGGTTTTTTTGGAGACTTTCTTTCTATTAATTATTAATTAACGTCAAATTAAATTTATAATGTGGGATCATCCAGTGCGACACTGTTGATCCTGCAGATGTGACTGCAGTAGCAACAACTGTGAAACGGGCCCTTGCAACCTATGGCACTCCAGCTATTACTGAAATGATCAAGAACTGCATGGCTCAAGATCTTTCCTGGAAGGTAAGAGCAAACAAGAACCTAATATGTTGCTTATCTAGCTTTTAGAGATTTGATGGCGGGAATCCTACGCTCAGTTGTTTTTAGCAGAAAACGTGTTCTTACAAAAACATTTTCCGTGAAAAATGTTTCTGATGTTTGGTCATGACATTGAAATTAGTGTGGTAGTGCTTATACTAGTGGTGGTGGTGGCGGCGGCGGCAATGGAATGGTGGTAGTGACGGTGGTGGCAGTAGTAGTGGCGGCAATGGTGCTTTTTTAGCGGTGAAGTCAGGATTTTAACTCAGAAGGAGCATCACTGAATTAAAATCTTAACAAAATTCATAATCCAATTTAATTTAATTTTTATTTGATAACAGAATTAAAAATTAGTGTGATGCAAAAATTATATTTAAGGATAAGCTCAAGTTAAGCAGTTAAATTATATAAAGATGCACACACAAAAAGTGATATAGCGAGGGATGGAGAAAGAAATAAAAGAAATGGCGAATAAATAATATATAGGGACCGCTATATATCATTTTTTTTTTTTCACCGCTTTGAATTACATAATCACATGGCAATATATTATTAGTTATTATTAATTATGTAATAATTATTTATAAACAAATGAACTAATTATGAGTATTCATATGAGAGGTGATAGAAAATTCATGACATATAATATTTTTCTAATATAAAATTTATAGGAAATTTTTTAACATAATTAAACATATATATATATCTAAAATGTAAAAAAAATTAAAATCATATAAAAAAATTAATGATTCTTTCTCATTTTCTCTATTTTTTACATGTTTTTTTATAAAAAAATAAAAAAATATATTCCCAAATTCTTTAATTTTTTACCTCATATTTTAGTCAAAAAATAAAAATAAAATCACTGAAAAAGTCACTTCTCAAATAAACCTAAATACATACTTTAACATCCCATTGAAATACTTATTTACTCTTTAAATTAACAAACATTTAATACTCATTTACTCTAAACAAACATTTAAAACATAAAAATAGGCCTCATTTTTATCAAAAATAGGCCTTATTCTTTAATGCTATATGCACCAATTGGTATATCAATTAATATACTAACAGATGATGGAACATAATTTTAAAGGTTTTGGATATTTATAATTTGTATAATAGATAGAGTTAGTAATAATGTCATAACATATATTGGTATATTAATTAGTATACCAATTGGTGCATGTATCACCGTTTTATCAATTAACGCTTGCTTTTAACAAGCAAATCAAACTTACTTCATTTGAGATGCTTTTTTATTAGAGCCATTTCATTTAGAAAGTTAAATACCTGAAAATGTGGTATGATGCATCTAAGCAGTTAGCACATTTTTTTTCCTATAGAATTGACAGGTAGTTAGTTATTCCCGCGACAACTTAATGACTAGGATTTTAACGCGCCATTAGCGGCTTTCAATTCTCATTCTCATGAAACAAACAATCCACCAAAATATGAGAATTAAAGGAGGAAGAAAGAAAAAAAAAACCCCCAAGAAAAGTTCAACAGAAATGTAATTTCATCTATTTTTTGGGGTACAATGTAAATTTCAAATTCTGATTAAAATTTTCCATCAATCTTTACCTGTTTTCTTTCTTTCTAAATTCTGACTCTCTCTCTCTCTCTCTGTGTAGAGGAATATTTCAAAGATGAATGCAGGGGGTGCGGATGGAGCCTCTGAACCAACTTCAACCGCTGCCAAGAAGCATTCCAAGAGACCCAAATGTGCATTTCCTTTACCCCCTTCTTGAATTTATTAATTGTTTATTTATTTATTTATTTCATATATTCTTGATGGTTTTATTGCAATTTTGGGTTTGTTTGGGCAAATGTTGTGAATTTTTGATTGGGTAACACTGTATTGTAATCTTCATGGCATGCAATTTAATGGATGTAGAGACTAAATTCTCACATATATGCATGTAGAATGATATTGGGCCATTGCTTTTCTTTTTTTTTTCTTTTGATATATTTTTTCGCAAATTGTGGAGTTTCTAATCTGGGTGTGTATTGTTTTCAAGAACCTGAATGCTATCAATCAAGAACACAGATGAAATTTGTGGTAAAACCATCAATGTCATGTTTACCATCAGTATATATGTGTATATATATGACAAGAATTAAAATATGTGAATAACATATTAGCATTTGGTATTGTCTTCAAGAACCTGAATGTCACGATTTGAAATGCATGAATGCATCTTTAATAATTATCTTTGATTATTCTAAGTTGGAATGTTTTTGATGGATGATTTGTGTGAACTAGAGTTGAATTGCAATGTAAATTAGGGATGATATTAAAAGATGAATAAACTATCAATTGCAAAATGCTGGATGCTTAGGTCATGTTCTTTTGGGGGACATGGCCTTGGGAATAGACTAATAATCCAACAGAATATATAGTCTCACATTTGGCTAGGAAAATTGTGTCTAGACTAATAGTCCACCCGTACATTGCATCCTCCCATATGTGGGACTCTTGAATACCAAGAGGGGAGTGGGATACAAAATGGGAGATTAAAGAAAGGTTCGGACTAATTGACTAAATTACAAAATTGATAGGATGTTGTCAATCTGTTCTCGTAATCCTAGGTACAAACATGAGATGAGATTGTTGGAACTATCTTCTGTGTAAATCAAATTAATAGAAACAAAGTCAAACAAATAAATAAATAACGTACCGAATTTATTTATCGAACCAAATTTAAAACTTTCAAAGACCAAGTCGAGTGTGCGACACTCTATCCTTAAGACAGATTCGCCCCGCTACGATGCTTACGGTTGAGTGGCGTCTATCTCCCAGGATACAATGATTTTCACAAATTGTAGTAGCACTCCAAACAATTTATTCGGCGAACCAAACCTGTGTTCTAACTCTCTGAAATTTATTCTAAAACTAATATGAAGAATAATGCACCAAAGACAAAAGTTGGACAACACAAAGGAATTAATTTCAAACTGTTTTTTCCATAGAATACTGCTGGAAATGTTGGTATATAAAGGCATACAAAGGTTGTCCGAACAGGTAAGTATCTGTAACTTCAACCCTTGAACAGATTTAGTAAGGAAACTAGACAAATCTGCAACTGTGCAGATTTGAATCTGTCCAGAATTTCAACTGCAGATTTTGAATCTGTCCAGAATTTCAACAGATTGAAAACCTGTCTGGACAGAAATTTACTTGATGTTTGATCAACCAAAATCTGCTGGAACAAGTCTAGAATATATAGACCCGAAAATGTACTAATTTGAATTGAATAGATGCTGTTTGAAAATCAAACAGATCTGGCAGTTACAACAGATAACTGCACAGCAGTTAAATCTGTTCGGGACAGTTCGAATCTGTTCGGGTGTAACAGATTTTGAGACCTGTTTGGACTGATTAATCTGTTCAGAAATAATGGACTGGAAGAGGAAATATATAGATAGAAAAAATAAATTCAAATTAGAATTTATTTCGGTTCAGAAAATAAAATTTTCCCTCAAGAATTTTGGAAAAAATTCAAATGAATTTTGTCCAAAAAAATAATATTAGAACCGCCCGGACGGTGGCACGCGCGTGTGGTGGTTTGGGCTAAGGTTCACTTTGTCCATAACTCCTCCCTTCTACAAACTTGGGATGCCCCTTGTGGCCCAACCCAAGTGTTGTAGTCTACAGCTTATATACACAAAAAAACTCTCTTAAAGTTTCAATGTGGGACAACCCATTTCAAAGAAACCCACATTTCATTCTTTAAATGTCCATTCCACGAACCCGAAAACGACGTCATGTTCCCATTCACTCATAAATGGTTTTGACGAACCGTCTTCACCGTGTGACTTGCCACGCGGCAAGGAACACTTCACCTCTTCGGACCCACCCCAAAAGACGTTTGGGGCTCACTCCATTTTGGACTCAAAGTTGGCCCAAAATAAGCCTTATAAAACACCATTTTTCCAACAGAGGTATAATGCTAATCCCGTTTGATTCAATCTGCCAAAACAAACATGGCCTTAGACGATTACAAGGAGCTAGAAGTTGTAGGGAGTAGCATCAAATTCACTTAACAATTTTTTTCCAAACTCAGTTTACTGAATTCAATTTCTATTAAAGTTTCTATGGTAATTAGGGAAATCAAGTATTGAAGGTATCACGAGAGATCATGAAGGCCATATACATCACTTGATTTTTGCCATGCCTGCTGGATTTGGGGTAGTTGATAGAGAAGAAATCATTGCCCCCTCAAAGGACTAAGGTAACTAGTAGGAATACTTCGTTGGGTTTTGGAGGGATATGATCAACTTCACGTGATTAGTTAAATAAAATATGGCATGAAGCTTTTCTAAAGTATGCCAATTTGATGAAAGAGGTTGTGTTTTATGCCTGTCCTCTGTAGGTTTTAAATTGTCCAAGGTAGTTAAGGTCGTTCTCTTTCTTTCCTCCCTTCTCTTTTTATTTATTTATTTTATTTTATTTTAATTTTTTTTTTCTTGTTTCTCCTTCTTATACATGGCTCATCCCTTGTAATTTGCCAAGTAATGGATCATATGCTGTGTACGAGGTTTATGTTGGGGCACAACTTAGTTGTGTTTGAATCTTGAATTTGAGTTGGGATTTGTGGAAGAAAAGAGAAAAATGACAAAAAAAATAGCTTCTATTTTTATTACCTTTCTCTTCATTTTTCCTTTCCAAGATCCAAACACAGCCTTAATGTTTGGACATAATCTGGGAATTAGTAGGAATAATGTGCTACAATAGTGGGATTTGAGAAAGAAAGAAAAGAAAAGAAAAGTGCTGTCTCTCTAAAGTTGGTAAAAGTACATCTTCCATCATTTTGGATCCTAAGAGAACGGGGCAAGTAGAGAAAATATTGTATATCTTTCTCAGTAGGTTATAATGAATCTCATGGCTTATGCTATTTTGGTTTTCTAAAAATTCTTATGACATAAATATAAAAAAATAGTAAAAAAGAACAATGTGGTCATATTTGGTGCACTTGGGTGGTGGTTATTATTTCCCAATGAAACTGCCTAAACAGAGCAATAACAAAACAGATGTATTACATTGTGTTTTATACACATTCAAATATTTTGATTTTTCAAAATTTGGAGAGTTTATTATTAGTGATTAAGTACCTAACCTTTTGCAAGTAACATTAGTCATGTTTTTCATTTTTAGAGTTTGACCAAGATGTGAATGATTCTTATGATCTCACATATGTTAATCTCAATACTCGAATATTAGGTGTTGATGACTTGCACAATTACTAAATATTCCCTTTAGTTATGTTTGTTCTAGAGTTTCCTCATGGATAAACTACTTATCTATTGATTATTATATGTTTCAGATTCTAGGTTTACACAACAAGAGCTTCCTGCTTGCAAACCAATTTTGACTCCTGGATGGGTATGATTGATATTATTTATATAACTCAATCTCTCTCTTCAGATTTTCATTACATAATTATCTCTCCCATGGTTTCAGGTCATCACAGCATTCATATTTGTCGGCATCATCTTTATTCCTATTGGCCTCGCTTCCTTGTTTGCATCAGAAAGCGTAATACATTACTATTGCATCGGTGAAGCTTTGTAGTTAGCATTTGACTGATATTTTATATGAACTCTCTCTTTATTTGAAATGTAGGTGGTGGAAATTGTAGACCGATATGACAAGGATTGTGTTCCTTCAAATTTTGGCGATGATGTGCTTGCATATATTCAAAGCTCCAAAACTAACAAGACTTGCATCAAAACTTTAACTGTCAGTCAATTAGTTCAAATTATTTTAGGCGTGTTCCTCTCTCCTCTTAGATTAATAATGTTTAGATGAACTCAAGTGCATTGCTTCAATGTTTTTCAGGTTCCAAAGAAAATGAAAAAGCCCATTTATATATATTATCAGCTTGACAATTTCTACCAGAATCATCGCCGGTATGTTGCTTATTTTCTTTTATTATATGGAATCAATTTACATGGTTTGATACTTGTTTATCTAAAGGTTTGGTTTTCTCATTGACTACTTCCACATTTGGGAATATGTGGCCCTCATAGTATACACTAGTTGAATTTGGGAGTTGGGACTATTTTGTTACCAAATACACTAATGCATAGAATTTTCTTGTAGAATGGAACTGAAATAAAACATATTTTTTGAAGCTATATTGGCAATATTATTCATCCACTTGTCAGGACTATAACGCATTAGGAGTGAGTTTTTGAGCCCTAAATAAGTCTAAATAGAGAAGGGCCTATGGTGAAATTACAACAATCTTTTTTAATCTCATGGTATCATAAATTTCGTGTCCAGAATACTAGTACCAAATTTGGAAAAAAAAAAATGAGTTTAGGCTTTACTGTAGCAGATTACTAGTACTGTTGCTAAACTTCATGTCCAGAATATCAGCAATTTCGTTCAAACAGTACGAAGACTGTTGATTTTTTTTTTATTTTTGGTTTCCATTTCTTATCCTTTATTCATTTTAAATTTTTTTCTTCTTCTTTTCTAACTCATTCTTTTGATATAAAATATTCCAATTCAAACTTTCAATAAGTTTTGTTTCATTATTGCATTGCAAGAGTTCATAAGGAATTGGTGAAGATAAAAATATATAAGTTGCTTGCTCAAGATCCTAGTATGTATTATTTTGTTACAATCAATTGATAATCATCTTTTTCTTTAATGATATTTTTTGTTTCTATGTATATCTATGTTGCCCAACATCCACTCATTCATTTTTGCTCTTCCTATTTTATTTGAATGTTGACAAGTGGACCTGTCCATTCTCCTGACTTTTTTTTTTTTTTTTTTTTTTCAAGTTTCTATTTCCTTGTTTCGAGAGACCGATAAAAAATGGCTATTACACCAAGATCCCCTCAACTATTAGCAAATATCAATTCATCCCTCTTATCAATGGATCTATACATTTTGACCCCTCCAATTATAAAACTATATCACTTTCACCCCCTCCACACCACCTTCAGAAGGGGGGACATTTATATGGTTTTTATAGTTGAGGGGGTCAGTATGTACAGGTTCACAGATGAGGGGGCTAAGGTGATACTACCTAATAGTTGAGGAGGATTCATGTATCATTCTTTCAAGTGTAGAAGTCTCCTTAAAGCTATATCCCTCGTTGCTATATATATATATGCATCAAACTCACATTGAACTCGATCTCAAATCTGTCGTAAATTTTTTCTAGCACAAATATTCATTGTCATTCTGAACAAAATTAGCTTATGGAAAAGATTGAGCTTTTCTCGCTAAATTTTGGTTATCTGTTTCTAGATATGTCAAAAGCAGAAGTGACAAGCAATTGCGTAACAAGGCATCCGAGTTTGAAACAAAAGATTGTGCACCTGAAGCCACAACTAAAGTTTCAAACAAAGATGTGCCAATTGTTCCTTGTGGCCTCATTGCTTGGAGTTTGTTCAATGACACATACGGGTTTTCATTGAATAAAAAGACACTGGAAGTCAATAAAAAGGGCATAGCATGGAAAAGTGATCGAGAGTACAAATTTGGGTCCGACGTCTATCCTAAAAATTTTCAACATGGTCTGATTGGTGGTGCAAAACTTGACGAACACATACCTGTATGGATATATTTTACCCGTTTTATTTTGTTATTGCTAATTCCTCTATTTTCGTGGAAAAACTGTGTTTAAGTGGGAATAATCCAAACTAAATGCGCTTTCATGAAGGTGCAAGTTGGAGCAAGCGATAGTTGTGTCCCATGCCACAACTTTCACTTGCACCCGACACAAGTTTACTTGCATTGCCATGAAAGTGAAATTATTTTGAGTTGTTCCCATTTACATGCACTTTTCCCAATTTTCTTCTACATTTTTTTCACTATCTTTTGTTCTTTGTTCCACGTGTAACAGTTAAGCGAGCAAGAGGATCTTATTGTTTGGATGCGAACTGCAGCGTTACCGACATTCCGAAAGCTATATGGAAAGATAGAGGTGGATCTTGATGCTAATGAGAAGATAACAGTTGCAATTCAGAACAACTACAACACCTACAGTTTTGGAGGGAAAAAGAACCTGGTCCTTTCGACCACAAGTTGGATTGGTGGGAAGAATGATTTCCTAGGTGTAGCATACCTTACAGTTGGCGGACTTTGCTTATTTATGGCAATAAGCTTCATTCTTTTGTATGTTGTCAAACCAAGGTAAGTCAAAGGTTCCATTAGTGTCTGACCAATTTTTTACGTAAGATGGATTTAAGTTCATTTGTATTGCATTTCACGTGCATTTCTGTACTGTCAAAGCCATGATTTCTATGCCGTACCATTTCTTTTATTTTTTACTTTATTTTGCTCTACATCGAGAACCAACTTGGGATAATCCTATCTAAGACCATTAAGATTAGTAAGATCCTACAATTGGAAGTCAGCTCCCACAATTTGATCAAGTCCTTTTTTCCTTCTTCCTAACTTTTCTAGTTTTAGCCCATATGAGGCACATAGTATGTTTCTAATAGGTCTTAAGCCCTAGTCTCTATGACTTACATTTTGGGACTAACAGCATCAATTGAATTAGCTTATACTTCCAAGACTCAAAATGCAGTGGTTGATTGGTTTGAAATCTGATATTTCTTTTACTAATTATTTATTGAGATAAGAAACTTGTAGTGGGAAATTGTCATCAATTAGGTCATTTCTACTTTGCATATTCAAATGACTTCCAAAATTTGTCATTAGAGTTTGATTAAATCATTTGTAATTTTTTAATAAACTTACTATTTTATTTTTATTTGTAATTTTAATGCCAACAAAGAAACTGTGGGTTTTGTTGCATTGGCATGACCTGTGTACTAAATTTAGCACGATTCGCCCTCATTATATCTCACTTCCTTTTGAATATTTGATTAAAATTTATAGAACTCACACAATATTATCTTGCCACAAGTATCCTTTTCTACACTAAATTTGGAAGTATATACATATCTTCTCTAACTCCTACATTGTCTTAATCTTTTCCATCTAGTTCTTTATTGTAAATTATTTGGAAGGTGAGTTTTATGTCGATTACTGAGCGAAGTTGATTTTTTTATTTAGGCCTCTTGGAGATCCGTCTTACTTATCATGGAACAGAAATCCTGGGAATTTGAACTAAGCTTTATTCGGCATACATATTTGCATTTATGATGGTTATTAATGCACCACTATGCCATGCTGAGTTTTACTTTGACATTTTCTTTGCCATGGAAGAGTTTCTACCTGGTTGAGCTACTGACTTCATGTTTGAAGACTTCCAATATGAGTGTATAGAGATCTGTTGTTATTGAATGTCTTTTATTTTTCAAAAAAAAAAAAAAATTGTTGGAAATGGGCATTGATTGATTAAGTGGTAGATGGTATTATATTTCTTCTTCTTTCTTCAATTTTTTTTCCCCTATATTGTTATATGTGGAAAATGAACATCCAACCGAACAAACAGCTTCAGTTATTAATAACTAGTTTTTATGCTTTTATTGTGGGGTGATGTTATATCATTTTGAGATATTTATGTTTTCCCCATCACAAACCTCTTGTACATTATTTTGATTTGCTTAAAGGACTTCGATATTGATTTTTGTTCACATTCAAATGTTTTTTGAGCGATTCAACATTAGTATCAATTATCATTGTTGTTGTGGTACTACTTTGTTTTGGCAGTATAGCTCTGCAAGCACTTGCTTTATTGGTTTTTACGAGTTTAGGAATGATTTCATAAATTATGTGAACTAAATGTCACTGTATGTTTGGGATATTAGTATTTTTGCTTAAAAAAAAAAAGAAGTCAAAGTTAAAACATGTTTGGCGTGTACCAAAAAAGTTAAGGAATCTTTATACAAGTTTGGAAAGACCAAACTATCCTTACGAGTGCACAATTATTTACACATTTAGAAAGGTAAAATGGGAAATTCAAGTAAAAAATAAAAGCATGACATGAGGCATTTATGTTTTTTCATACAACTAAAAAAATTATTCTTAAATATATTATTTTTTTTTGTCCTAAAAAAGTCAAAAAACTAAAAGTCCCAAAAATAGCTAATCCCAAATATAATCACAAAATTTAAGGATTGAAGTAGAAAGCAAAAATGATATATAGCACAAGTGGTCATGTGGAAGCATTTAAGTGCCAATGAAGAAAGACTCAAGTTTGAATTAATAAAGTGTGTTGAGTTCTGATGAACGAGTTTGAATCACCTTAAATGAAGACCGCTTGATTTCAAATCGAATTAATTAAGAATTATTGATTAATTAGGGTAATGAAGATTGAAAATGACTCGATTTAACTTAATTAAATTAGCCGCTACTAAAAAAAGTAGTGGGCAAATAAAAAGTGTTATGGTGTTTTTACTTCTTCTTTTTTTAAAATTTTTTAATTTTAATTTTTTTTTTTAACTTTTGTCAAGAGAAAGAAGAGAAATAGAAAGAGGAAGCTGCAATTGTAACGATAAGACTTGAACTTAAACTTTATGCTACTGAAAAGAGTTGGGTCTTAACTTCCTATGCAATCTCCTTAGTCTTGTATTAAGGTGTTTGGAGGAGAAACGAAACCACCACTTTCGATTTAGCCTTGACATGTACTAATTAGTTTTGTATGACCAATTTTTACATATATACACCTACTGTTAAGACCCAAATCCGCCCTTATAAGTTTAGAGTCATGACTGGGCAGTAATCTTAGATTACCTTCGGTCTCAAAGACAAAATTTCAAAATATTTAAAATCATATTGGGGCCTAAAGCGCAAGCAAAACAAAAATAATAATGTCCATTGAGTTTATCCCTACATGATACAATAATAATTTATATACATGTACAAATCTTATATATCTCACACACATATACATTTAAGACTCAACAAAATACCAAACTTTGACAAAGCTAAGGGGCTGATTTTCTTGGCTTTACTCGAGCCTAACTTGTTCCATTTCGGAAGCTCTTCAAAGGCTGACACGGGTAGACTTCAAGACTTTCTGTATCCTTGTTGCTTAGTTTGCTCACCTACATATACATATAAATAATGAGCTAAAACCCAACGAGTAATAACAAAATAAAAAGGTTAAATGAATGAAGTTCGACGATAATACAAAAAACCTGTCTTACAATTTCGAAACGAATCTTATATCATTTTCAAAATAAGGCATTTGCCATATTATATCAAATTTATAACAAAACATTTTCCATATCAAATCCCTTATCAAAACATATATTTCTTTTTCCTAAACAATCCATTTCAATAGGCAAATCAATTCGATTAGCCATCATATCAATCCCTTGCAATAATAAAAACCATTGGTTGATAGCATTTTCAATACAATTCTGATTTCAATTCAATTCTCAATGATCCATGTTATCCCAATAGCAATACTCATTCAATGACAATTTACGTGGTACATCCAATAGAGTAACAATATTTCAATAACAATAGACCACAAGGGTCATACAATGGACTACGATGGGTCAATCCAATGGGCCACGATGGGTCAATCAATAATCCAATGGACGACGATAGGTCAATCAATAATCCAATGGACCACAATGGGTCAATCCAATGGACCATGATGGGTCTAACACTAGAGATCTCTGTGTTTCAATCAATCTAATAGCCTTGGTATTGTTTCCCTAAGCAAGGGCCTATAATCAATGGCCGTGGTATTATTTTCCCTAGGCAAAGGCCTCACTAAAGGATACCACGAATACATTTCGAAGGTGAACTTCATTCATCATTACAAAATAACTTTTCAATAAACCATTCAATCAATGACATAATGATTTCGAAAACAGTAATCATCTCAAAATAAATATAATTTGAATATATCTTTATAAAGTTACTACTCACAGTGGGTTAAGTCGATATAAGGCCTCAGACGTCCACCGATACAAATCACATAACAAAAACACAATAGAAGCACCATTCAATATTCATTTCATTTTAATTCAACTCTTTTTATGTGTTTCTAGCTTATTCCATGACTATGTGAATCCAATTGGTGCCTAAGAATACTTAGAATGTCATGAGGATGCACATAGGCACGTAGAAGAGTTAGTCAAAAATTGCTGAAAACAGGGTCCTTGCTCGAGCGCACCTTTGGTCGCCAAGCGGTCTGCAAAGCTCTGTAAAAATACTGGGAGCTCATAATGTTCGCTTAAGCGACTAGGGGTGAGCATGGTTCGGATTGGACCGGATTGGGATAAAATCAGGACCAATCCGTTATTTACGGTTCCTGAAAAATTGGAACCAATCCAATCCGTTTATATCATGGAACCAATCCGAACCAATCCATTTAAATACGGATTGGATCGGTTTAGGACCACGGATTCGCATAACTAAATAACAAAAAAATATATATAACACTTTAATTTCATAAAAATATAAGCATAGCGCCATATTAGTTCCACAATAGCAACATCTATTTCTATAATAGCGACATACTGTGCTAGAATTTAAACAATCATAAGAAAACTGGTTTCACCATAAGTATTTAGACCATTACAAATTAAAACTAAAAACTAACAAACAAAAGTAATAAAAGAAGATATTATACGGTTTTAGGTTTGAGTTTAGATTTTATATAGAATAAGAGAAGATATTATGGGGGAGGATGTATAATAAAAATATATACTATTTGTATACGGTCCGGATCGGTTCCAATCCGGAACCGTGGAGTTCAATCCGGAACCAATCCGTGTACTACGGATTTTTAATTTTTCAATCCGGAACCGAACCACGGATTCAAAAAACCAATCCAAACCTATCGGATTGGACTGGACTGGATTGGATTACGGATTTCACGGATTCCTTGCTCAGCCCTATAAGCGACCATTGATCTGTAAAAATTATGGGTTTTCAAAGTTAAAAAGTCGAGCTTCCAGATTCCAATTCAATACTTGGGGTCTTGCTCAACTTTGTTAAAACCATATAATCTCTTTTAACAATCAAGAAAACATGATTAATTTCTAACCATTTACATCCAACTCTTTTAATTCAAGATTAAACTCCAAATTTCCATAAACTTGTGTTTACAAAACTTTCCTTTTTCTCTTCAGAATATGAAATCAATTCTTCAAATCTTCTTAAATTTCATGATGACTGCGTAATTAAAATTCTAATTTATGCAAGAGAACAAAAATCAAACCCACAAAATGCTCAATTCTAATCTAATTTCTACAAATTGAATTTAATCCAATTCCACCCTTTTACTAATTTCTTTGAAATTATATGAAATTGATTCTTAACTCTTTTCTATTTTCCTTTAAATCATGAAAATGGAGTTATGCAACTTTGCATGCATAAAATTAAGATCAAAACTATATAATTTTAATTAGAATAGCTCTAATTTGGATTATTATTAATTTTTTTCATATCAAACCCAAGTTCAAATCCATAAACCTTTTAAACATGAATTAAAATCTCAAAACCTTGAAATCCTATGATGCATGTTTAATTAGAATATTAAACTTGTAGAATTTGCCCATGCATGTAACAATGAGGCTTAATTTCATGCAAGACTACATCATCAAACCCAAAATAATCAATTTCCATAACCATGAACCTACCTTAATTTCTTCATCTTTGTTTTCTAATTTCGTTCTAATTATATGAAATTGAAGCACCAAAACCCTTGGAAAATAACGATGCATGTAAAATTAGAACTCAAATTCATCAAAGGTGACCAAAATCATACTCAAAAGATGATCTTCTAAATCAATTCCTTAATTCTTGAACTTAATTTTTTTTTTTTTCATTCTTTTCCTTGATTCCCTCATATTATATGTATTTAAACTCAATTACCTCATAAATTTAGGTGTTGAAGAGATTGTCTATAAACATTGGGTCAGAATTTCTTACCTATTAATCTTCAAGATAGAATTTGGTTAGGTTCTCCACTTTCTCTTTTCTTATTCTTTTTCTTTAATCCTTAGCTTTTTCCTTGAGCTTTCCATCAAATTCCTTCCAGCAAAAATGGAATACGCTTTGTGGAGATATATTTTCTGAGTACCAACACGTGGCATGGTGACGCCGACGTATCAGCCGAGGTGCCACGTGTCGTGGTAGTTATGCCGAGGTTATCTTTTGCGAGGCCGAGGTGATCTCCGAAGATATCGGAATCTGAGATAAGCGGATAATGGACAAGAGTCCTAGAGAAAAGAGAAGACTTAGCCAAGATAAGGATAAAACTCTTAGGGAGTTTATCTTTATCTCTTAAAGAGTCCAAAGTCAGTATTGAATTGGAGTCCATAGAAGTCAGACTTCTAGTGGGACTTGGATTAAGTAAACTATAAAAGAGAGGCACCCCGTGGGTCTAAGGTACGCAAATTATGTTTTGAGAAATAAGTTTAGCACTTGATTATCTTTGAGAGATATACTGACTTGATCGTCGGAGTGCCCCCGGGTGGAAGAGCCACCGCCGGAGCCTTTTTCTTTCTGTTACAGGTTTGCTAAAGCCATCTATTCTGCCGGTGCTCTCCAGCTGATTACTAGGCGGGCAGTGTGGTCAGATTTTTACCCACACAATTTGGCGCCGTCTGTGGGAAACTTAGAAAAATAAATGGCCAGTAACGGACAGAGGGAAAACATTGGGGGCGACACTTCTGCTGGGAGTGGCAGACCAATTGACCTTGACGTTGAAAGAGACAACCACAATACAGAAACTCATGGCTAGGGCCACGGAGAGAAAGACGTCGGCCAGGAGAACGACGCTTTGAAGAGAACAGACCAAAGCAAGTATTATAACGAAGATAACCTTCAGGTATGGAGGGATAGGTGCCTACGAAGGGATGAGGAAGTAAAAGACTTGGCAAACAAGTTGGCAGACCTACAGTCAGTGGTCAACTTCATGATGCAAAATAATGTCATGCAGCCACCATACCCGCCGTAGGATACGCCAATGCCAGCAACTAATACCTAGAAGGGAGGAGGAAGAACGATCCCCGAAGTCCCTCAATACACCAGGAGCGGAAGGCACTCTCACCGACCTTCCAGGGAAGGCGGACGAGGGGAGCCGAGACGAGAGGAGTCCCAAAGAACGTATCACACGAAGGTTCCAAAGCCCAAAGAACATCGCCATGTTCAATGGCAGGCGCTTTGCTTTGACACAACACATAGAGAGAGATCAAAACGTGCCCACCACGAGGCCGAAAGTAGTGTGCCGAAGAGATTGAAATCAAAAGATAGCCGAGCTCCAGGAAGGAGTAAAGAAGACTTGAGAGATTACCTCAAGAGGAGGCAACTGAATGCTGAAGCTGAGGTAACTTCCCCGGTTAAGCTGAGAACACCATTCTCGGTGGAACTGGACAAATTTCAAGCACCTAAGCGATTCAGTATGTCGAGGTTCCAAATATATGATGGTAAGACAGATCCCAACTTTCACGTCGGTCTATATCTGAATTCGATGTCATTATATAGTGGGAACGAACCATTGCTCTGCAAAGTGTTCCCCTCATCCTTTGGGGAAATTGCATCAGATTGGTTCCACAAACTACCAAAGGGAAGCGTAAAGACTTGGGAAGGCCTGGCCGAGATGTTTGTGGCCAGGTTTGTAACAAATAAACTACAACCCTTGAGGGTCGACGCACTGATGGCTTTAAAGATCGCCAAGGACGAAGGCCTTAGGGCCTATGCAAAAAGGTACTACGAGGTGTTCAATCGAATACCTGATTGCAACCAAGAGGTGGCGGTCGTGTCCTTCAAGAACGGCCTGAAAGATGACTGCCCACTACGGAAATCTTTGGCAAAAACATTGCCAAAAAGCATGGAAGAACTCATGGCGAGAATAGAGAAGTACGCCAGAGCCGAGGAAGATACGTCGGGAAACAAAGAAACAAAGCAGGAGAAAGGAAACGACGCTCGCCGAGCGAAAGCGAGGCAACAATGGACAACAAACAAAGAAACGAACTTGAAGGGTAAACAGGCAGTAATACAACTATCATTCCGAGTCCCAATCCAAAGTCTGATCAAAATACGAAACCAACCCTATTTTAGAGCTCCAGCAAGGGCTACCAGGGGAATTCATGGGAAAGAACGTTGGTAGGCGTTGTGCTTACAACCAAGTGGCAGAAGGGCACCAACTCAGGGTTTGTAAGAGTCCCTAAAAGACAGCTTAGAAGACTTTGGGTAAAGGCAAGGCCATCTGAGGGACCTTGTTGATGCACGGCCTAGGACAGAGAAGAACAGGCAGGGTCGAGATTGCATCAAGCACCCTGCAGCTTCCGTCTCCCAGCACAAACAACCACAGGCAGGGAGGACCACGGGTGGTTTTAATGTATTTCACTGCAAAGGTGAACGAAAGCGACATTCAGTGGAAGAAACCCAAAGAGTAAAACACCTGCATGCACGTGAACCAGAGTCGGACCATAAAAGACCTCGGCTGAAGAGTGCCAAGGACGATGATAGCCTTCACTGAAGCTGCCTAGAGAATTGGTCCCAAGCATCCTGCATAATGATGCCTTGGTAGTATCCCTCCAGTTCGGGGAGTTGCCAAGTGAAATGCCTCCTACATAGATCAAGGCAGCTCTTGTGACAATGCAATGGTACGTTAGATGTTACAAGGAGCTAGGTCCTTCACCCAGACGAATGGAAGCAGATCGGCGGCCCGATGGGTCGGCTTCAATAAACGCTGAACGTTGGGCCACTGGCGCAAACAAGCTTGGAAGTACAAGCTTGGACTAAGAAGATCAGGACAGAAGATTCATTGGTGATTGGAACACCTTCCCATATACATCATCTTGAGAAGACCATGGGTTGCATGCTAATGGGGGCACGTTTTCCCTCAACAATCGCATCAACGTACGTGCGGTTCCTGAACAGACGCATGGGGATTGGAAGAAGTGGACTGTAGGAGAAATCAACTGGAAGCAAAAAGTTATCATGGCAGTACAAAAAAAATGACAGTCTAACATTGCAGGTTCGATCGAGCCAAAGGAGGCAGAAATTTCGAAAATGAGGGGACATGGAAGGTACTAAAGAAGACGTGGCGAAAGAACTCAGCCGAGAAAGCGAGACGAGACATCTAAAGAAAAATCTTCGTCCAGGAGGGCGATGAAGAGCGCTTCTTTTTCCTCAACGGCTCAGGCTTTAGCCGAAGAAGTAGAAAAGAGATACTGGATAGATTTCTTTGAGAACAGAACATAGCGAGTGTTCGCCTGGACACTTTACTGAAATGCCCTGCAATTGACCCCGAGGTCACTTGCCACATACTGAATGTCGACAGGTTTTCCGGCCAAAGACCTGGTGATTCCAACGAGCCAGAAGACCGACGTTGATGGGCACGTCAAGCAGTAAAATGATGAAGTAAGATAGAACTTCTTGGAAGGCCAAGGGCCATCCGAGAAGTTTCACTAACTCAACGATGGCTGGTCTCAACACAGTAGTGGTGAAGAAGAAGAACGGCAAAATGAGGTTCTTTGTGTAGAATATCTACCAGCCTCAACAAAGCTGCCCCAAAGACAGCTTTCCTCGCCGCAAACTGATCTGACCAGCTCGTAGATGCTACTTTCAGGGCATCATGATGAGTTTTTCTGGATGCATACAGTGGGGTATCCACCAGAATTGCCCATGTACCTCCAGACGAGGAGAAGACCGGTTCATCACCCAAAAGGCCTGTACTGTTATAAGGTAATGCCTTTTGGTTAAAAAACGCAGGAGCAACTTACCAAAGGTTAGTAACAAAGATGTTCAGGCACTTGATTGGCAAAACGGTAGAAGTCTACATCGATGACATGGTTGTGGAAGACCAAAGAATCTCAGGGTCATCTTGCCGACCTAAAAGAGGTCTTTGATATACTCAAAACATACCGGCTCCGACTCAACGCATCAAAGTGCGCGTTTGGAGTTGGATCAAGTAAGTTTTTAGGGTATCTGGTAACAAGAAGGGCATTGAGGCAGCCCAGACCAAATCAAGGCCATCCTAGAGCTGAAGAGCCCGACGTCGGCAAAACAAGTTTTCAGATGCTTACTGGGAAGGCCGCAGCCCCTAACAGATTTATCAGCAGAAGCTCAAGATAAGTGCAGACCCTTCTTCAACTTGGTAAAAAAGCCACAGACTTTCTGTGGATAGAAAGAATGCCGAAGCCGCTTTGACCGACCTGAAGAAGTACTTGACCACAACTCCGGTTCTTTCCAATCCAGAACTAGGGAAAGAACTGTTTTTGTACTTGGCAGTATCAGAACACGCAGTCAGTGCAGTACTAATCCGAGAAGAAAAAAAAGAGCAAAAGGCTGTTTACTATGTAAGCGCAAAACCTTGGCCAGCGCAGAAACAGGTATCTACCACTGGAGAAAATTAATGCTAACCTTAGTAACGGCTTCAAGAAGTTAAACCATTACTTTCAAGGTGCACAAGATTGTGGTCCTAATAGAGCATCCACTGAAGTCCTTGTTGCAACAAGGAGACTTAATAAGGAAAGGATAGCAAAATGGACAGTAGCCCTGGGTCAGTATGACCTGGAGTTCAGGCGAGAACAGCAATTAAAGGCAAGTTTTGGCCGACTTCGTGGAGAATTCACGCCCGAAACCATCGAACATCGGGCTCCGTTGAGTCAGGATGAGCATTGTCCAGCAAGTAAGGAGAATCCCAGCCAAAGCAAAAGAGCAAAAGAAAGGAAAAACTCAGGCCCTACAACATCTACATTGGCGACTCATTCAGACTGTTTGTCGATGGGAGTTCGAACCGGACAGAGAGCAGGGGCAGGAGTACTGCTGATATCTCCAGATGGAGAAATAATAGACCAATCCATCCGTTTAGGGTCCAAGGCCTCAAACAATGAAGCGAATACGAAGCATTAATTGGAGGGCTAAAACTGGCAAGCAGCAGTAGAAGTAGATGAGGTAATAGTTTTTTTGTAATTCACAACTTATTGTTAACCAGTCAACAGGAAAATTTGCCAGCCAGGGACGAAAGGATGTCGGCATATGCAAAAGAGGTCATCAGATTGGCAGCCCTATTTCAGAACTGCCGACCTACTCCAAGTTAGCCGA